GGCCATGTAATCTATTACGGATTTCAGTAATGCTCAAATTTCCAAAATAGAAGACACTATAATTTCCCTGTGAGAAGCGGGGTGCTTCTTTGATGTGAAAATGCATTATCCTTTTCCTCTTTCTTGTCATTTATAGTTGACTGGGAATTTTAAGTTTCTAGTTAACAGTAGGATCAAATCATGTCATAGTATTACTCTACTTCTTATAGGCATCAATTCAAATGTAGAACTTTTTTTCTGTCCCTACAAAAGTTAAACTTCTGATTTGAGCAGTATTTTCTTCTGAATCTCACTGTTAGCTGATTGTGTTTATTATCCAAAGGTCTGGTCTTATTTCTTCTGCACGTATTTAAATCAGTTGTATGTAGCAACTTGTTCACCTGCCAGAGACAGTGGTTCTAGTTATGTAGCTTGGGGACACTCCACTCTTGTTGGACCGGTGAGTATTTGACGTCTGAGGTACCTTGTTTCGAAGCTTTTAGTTAACATTTTCCTCATGTGACTTTTCAAGAAGAAATGGAATAGTTCTAAAAGCTTTTGCTAACGAGCAGATGAATGGTGGAAAAAAGAATTTTATATAAGAAACAATCATGTTTTGCAAATGTGGCTTCAAGTGTAACCAAATATCTTATGCTGGTTAACCCACACAACCTGGCAGTTTGGAGAAGTGCTTGTGACAACAGAACACGAGGAGACTACACTAATAGCAGAGATTGATTATTCAGTAATCGAGCAGAGAAGGTGAGTCTCTCCTGTACCTCCAGATCAGTTTTAGATCAAATATGGATTCACATTTTATTTGTTCAGTTCTTTCTGTGTGTTGCTTCCCTGTATTTTATGTCAATGTTAAGTCATCCTAAATGATCTTTTAATGGTTAATCATCCGTCCCTTTTCTTGGATGGAGGCGTCAACATGTCCACTTCGCCATCGTCCGTTCATGCTTAGAGCTTATCTAGAAGTCATGATTATCTTCTTCTGGCCCATTTATTTACTCAAACTCCTTTTTTGATGCACAGAACATACCTTCCATTTCAAAAACAAAGGCGAGGGGATTTGTATCAATTAGTTGATGTTGACAGATTGAACTCCACAGGGGCCAATTGAGGTGCACTCCATACTGCACAGGAATGAAATAATCTTTGAATTGATCATTGACAAAAGAGTGATCCATTGAGTGGCTAAAATGGCATGGTTGCATAGTGATGCTTGCAATGATCTCTGCTCAATTAGATGGCTTATTTCTCTTCTAAGTCATTACAGGCCTTTAAATTACTACCTCTTAGATTTTGCCTGGAATGATACAGTCAAATGTGATGTGGGTGAAACTGCAATAAGTGCAATAAATGCCCATTTTGTTTTTGATTTTTTTTTTCTGGTTCTTTTTGTTGTTGGTTGTTGTTGTATAATCAAGAAATCCCCCGTGTGTTAAGCTGGTCCAGCCCTAGTTGGCACTTGGCAGAGGCGGATCCAGAATTTAAACTCTACGGATTCGACTTTTAAGGTTTAGCATTAAATTCATTATATTTTTAAAATTATGGGTTCATATCTACTATTTTTGCAAATTTAATGAATATTTATATACAGATTTTTGTTCTGTATCAAAATTTATGGGTTCAGTTAAACCCGTGGGTAGAACACTACATCCGTCTCTGCTAGTTGGTGCAATTGTTTGCAACTTACGTGAGCATGGGCCGGCCCCTCTACCCTCCCACTTAGATACCATGCTTTAGTCTTTTTTTGTTCTTTTCTATTTGGTTTACTTAGAATTTTAATCAACTGCATGATTAATGGATCTGCATCTGCTGGAGTTTTGAGACTTGAGAGAGTCTCTCTCTCTCCCTCCCCTTTTTCTCCTGTCAAATCTACTACTGCAAAATGTCAAACATGACTTCCACCAAGGGTATTTTTGACATTATTTTTACTATGGAGAAGTACTACTACTATTTTTCCACAAAGTTTCTTTTGTCCTTGGTCTTTTATCTTCTATAAAGAAATTGTAAAAACAAAACGTGTGATATCTCATGATACTGCTGGTAGACTTTGAAGTATGCTCATTTATACTCCACCCTTGCACTTTGGAGATACAAGTGCTTCTGAAATAATAATTATACCTTTGTACAAGAAGTATTTGAATATTGAGTAATCAATTACTGTACTCTTTTTGTTGGTTATAAATTTAATAAATAGCCAGAAGTAGACAAGGACAGTAAAGGAAACTGACCAGCACTTGGCCATTCTGGCAGAATCACACGCACGCGCGCTAAGTTTCCTTCTTTTTATATAAATGCATTCTACTTCCTAGTCAGTAGCATAAGCCCCCACCTTCCCCTTTCACATTCTTGTCTCTGTTTATTTCTCATTTTGCCTTGTTCATTTCATTCATATTCACATTTCTCAGTTGGTTAAACTCAGTTTTGTACTCAGAAAATGTCTTCGTGGGAAAAGCCAATAATAAGAAAGGAAAGGCTTCAGCAAAGGCGAAAGACGCCATCCTTTTCTTCCTCTCTGTTGGAAGCCATTTACCAATCCATTGATGAAGAAAAACGTGGAGAAGAGAACCATGTTCCGAATAAAAGGAACAATGATGTGGAAGCTGAACAAGAAATTACTAGTCTTCGACGAGCAATCTTGATTGAGAAATGGATGGAAAGTTACAAGTATACTCAAAGCTCAAGACACTTTAGTTCAGATTCAAGTTCATCAACAGACTCAAGCATGTTTTCATCCTCAGAAACTGAGTCAGCTACAAGATCTACCTCTAAATCATCACTTTTTCACACATTGCCAAAACCAACAAGACAAGTTCGTGAAATACTTGTTCGATCAGAAAATGTTGTTACATTGTCTGCAGAAACAGCTCCAAAATGTGAAGGAGGAAGGTTTATGAGAACAAAAACAAGAGCCTTGAAAATTTATGGTGACTTGAAAAAGGTAAAACAACCTATTTCACCAGGTGGGAAAATAGCAAACTTCTTGAATTCAATATTCAATTCAAGAAATATGAAGAAAAACCACCACCACAACCACCAACAAGGTATGGAAGATTGGAGTTCAGTGAGGAAATCAAGATCAGTGAATGACTTAAGTAGTACTGTGACATGTTCATTGGCTTCAAGATCTTCTTGCTTAAACAAAAGTACCCCTTCTTCGACTAGAGGTAAATCGAAAAGATCAGTCAGATTTTGCCCTGTTAGTGTAATTGTTGACGAAGATTATCAACCATGTAGTCACAAGAGCAGCAGCAACAACAACAACAACAGACCAAGTGCAATTGCACAAGTGGAGTCTGGGGAGGGTAGTATGTACACAGACCTTACGCCTACTTTCAAGAAAGCAGAGAGACTGTTTCCGGAAGACCCTCGGCTTACGATATGTGGTCACAAGAGCATATTCAAGAATGAAGAACCAAGAATTTGGCATGTTCCTAAAGTAGGGAGCTTCAGAAACTTCGAGGGAAAACATATAAACAAGAATCAATACAGAGGATTTTACGAGAGTGAAAACGAAGAGGAAGAAGAAGAAGAAGATGATAGTAGAAGTTGTGCAAGTTCAGATTTGTTTGAACTTGAGAATATTGGCATGATTAGTCATGTTCATGCAACTAGAAATGAGTTACCTGTTTATGGAACTACTAGTTTGAAAATGAATCAAGCAATTGCTAGGGGTTTAGTTATGTGATGTAATATTTCATTAGATCATCATTGTAAACACTTAAAAATGAGTGATTTGTCTTCTTGTACTAGGTTTTTCTCCAGTTTTATTTGTATCATATTTCAGATATCTGACTTATTTTCTTACTTTCCAACAATGGTTCAGAACTATGGCTTTACTAACATAAAAGGCCAATTGGTATGGGAATGAAGGGCACACAAACTAACAGTCAGAGGCAAATCTAAAATTGGGTTTTGAATGAGTGTAGTCGGAGGGGTCGTTTGTTAAGATGGATAAGCAAAAATAATTTTGAGATAAATATTTAGTACCGTTTTATCCCTTGTTTGGTTACGAATCCTGGGATAAGTTATTTTAGGATTAAAAATAGTATCGGGATAACTTATACCTGTTAGAGGGTGGAACAGTAATTACAGGATAAATCAGTAAAATTGACAACTTTAGAATTAATACAACATATCAAACAGTCAATAAGAAAATACTAGGATAATTAAACTCAGCATAACGAATCTCAGTATAAGTAATCCCAGCATAACTTGTCTTCAAACCAAACGACCCCTAGTATTATATGTGTAAATTTTAATTCTCTTGCTAAAAGTGATGAGTTCAGTTTGAATTTGCAGAACTCGCTCTAGATCCACTCCGGCATGATCATCTAACCGGCTAGTCTATGAAGCTCTATGGTTCTAATTAAAGAGTAGTTCCATATCGAGTCTTAGCCCTATCATTAGATTTTGAGCATTATAAATGAGTGAAATCTTAGTACTATATGTAATTTTTTTTAATTTTCTTACATAATTCGAGCTGAAAGTGATGAGTTTAGTTCGAACTCACAGAACTCGCTCTAAATTCGCCTCTGCCTACGGTATCGACCGTGAGGACTAGTCTATGAAACCCTATGGTTCTAAAGAGTAGTTCCAAATGGAGTCTTAGCCCTATCATTAGATTTTGAGCATTAAATCCACTAGGTTAGCTTACTTTCAGTAGAAACTAACCTTGATATGCAAAATTAACTGTTAAATCAAAATCATTAAGAGAACATGTCCTAATTAAGCTCGTTTGAAAATGATAAGTTCCTTACTGTAAAATACTTCCTAGTCGAGTGTCACGAGATGTAATGATTGTGATTAGGATATGTATCTTTAAGTTGAAGAAAAATGATTTCTTTTCTTCACTTTTTGAGATGTTACATTTGGACATTACTGTATTAATTAGGCTAGGGTACCCCCAAAATATTATTAATTTAATCTTATCTTGAGCATATGTCACTGTTTTGAAATGATTAAAAAAGTTTGAAAATGCTAAAATGTCACATTTTCACAGTGTATTTCCAACTTTTGGATTCCCTCAAGAAATAGAAGAGAAGTCCAAAAGTGACATCTTTCGAAGCAAGAACAAGAAAGATCCTTGATAACAAAGTAGACAGTATTTTATGATGTTGTCGTCTTTAGAATTTTTGGGGATGAGTAGGTGTGGAAAATTGAGTCGTTAAAAGGAGCACACCAACAATTAAAATACAGTTAAACTTTTCTATACCAATATCGTTGGGTTAAATTATTTTTTTTTTTGTCTTTTTACCTTTTATAAAGATTGACTTTTATACCTGTAATATCAAAACACAAAAGCGATATTGAGTATATGAGTTAATAAGTCTTAAACTCTAATGATGCGTTTTAAATCTGTGTAGGCCTAGATCCAGATCACACAATGTCACTAGCGGGTAGTCAAACTTGAAAGAAGTTTAAAAAACAGATAAAAGATGTTCAATATATGTTATATACCTCTCTAAAATCTAATATTTTACATGCAGTGTAATTTTTTGACAAAAAGTGATCAATTGACCACCAGACATATAGCTTCGACCCTAGGGTAAATAGCTCACCAACAAGGCTAAATATTGATGATATCAAATAGATAAAGATATAAGTTAAGGGATTAGGTTCAACAGAATTTGTTACATTGAACTGATCCAAAATAACGCTGTCAATCAATTATTGCCAACAAAAATAGTGTAATAAGACCAAGAATAAATAGATTATATTCACAAAAATGTAGAGCAGGTAGGTGTTATTGGTAGCTGTTATGTTGTGTCTGTTTATGCCCAACAACAAGAGAAAGAAGAAAGAAACTGCGGTCGTTAGTCCTATTGAAGTAGGGTTACATGGACGGGGTTGGTTCGGTTTTTATCAAAACCAAACCAAACCAATTATATCGGTTTGGATTGGTTCGGTTTTGTCGGATTTTTTAGGTTTTTGGGTTTTTTTGTTACATGAATATTATTTCAATCTTATTTTATTAAAATTATAGATAAAGTTTTGATAAGTGAATATATGTTTAATAAATATGGAAAAAATTGTCAAACATATGATCTATTAAAATATTCTAATAGGAGAATTTTTTTAGTAACACATGATAGTTATTTTCTTAGTCGTCTGACAATAATTTTCGTTAATTTACGCTTTCAAGGTTAATACATGAGAGAATCCCAAATATTTCTACATTTTCTAAAGAAAAATCATTATAAAGTCTTAAAAATATAAATAAAATTTATATATTTATATGTCTGTTTGGTTCAGATTTTTTTACTCAATACCTAACCAAATCAAACCAAACCTAGTCGGGTTTTTTAACCGGCTTGGTTTGGTTTTTCAGTTTGGTGCGGTTTTCCGGTTTGGTTTGAACACCCCTATAGAGAAGCAAATGACACAGAAAAACTAATAAGATTGAATGATCGAAGATAAATTCAAAATTTGAACTTTATGATTCCTACTGTAATTTCAAATTAATAATGTAGAATAATTATTGAGTTTACTCTCAAATATTTGTAGACATTTAATTAATTTTTACATAAACAAGTCCTGGAAAAAACTTTTAATTTCTAAGTGAAAGTATATGCTATATCAAGAATCCGCGCCTGCGTATATGGGTTAAGTCGAACCCTTTTTTAATATGAGATATAAATATATTCGAAACTATTAAAATTGAAAATCGGGCAGAATTCTAGTTTTATGGTCCTAAAATATCAAAAAAAACGAATAACAGTTATGGCGAAACGATGACTATTGTTCATTAGGTTGTTGTTGATTGCCCGAATTTTATTAGGCGATTCCGGTCTGGTCGCCCGGATGCATGCAGATGGCGTGATTATAGCACACGAAAATCTTAAAATTGGGGGGAGTTCCAATTGTATGGCGCTAAATAACCAAAAAACGAGGAACAATCATGGCGAAGCGATGACTATTGTTTCTTAGGTCGTTTTTTATGGTTAGACAAAATTTTAGGCGATTTGGGTCCGATCGCTCGGATGCGGATGCATGCAAATGACGTGAGTTAGAGCACACAAAAATTTGGGACTCAGATAAAATTCTAATTTTATGAACCTAAAATACAAAAAAACAAGAAATGACTTTTAATTAATATTTTATGTTAAAAAATTTAAAATTAATTTCAATAAATTAAATGCTGAATCCGCCATAATAATTATGAAAGAGGTCCCATAGAAGAATTTGAGAAGTCAAAATAGAGCATAGGATCAAGCATTATGGCGCACATGCAAAACTAGAACTTTTGCAAGCAAAGTTAAAAAGTAGATCTTCAAAACTTTTACTTTTTTCAATATTCCCCCACCCTCGCACCAATCTGCCTCAATTCGTTCTTTTTAAGTATTGGGGGTGGTTCAACTTTTTGAAAAAATATAATTATGGGTGGCATGTCACTGTTTTCTACTTGTTACTCTCTTATGAGTAGAGATGGATTCACATTTAAAATCAATATGTTGGGAGCATCTTATAATATTTATGGTCCACAGCGAATTAATAAAACAACGCTATAATTCAGTAGCGAAGTCAGAATTTTTTTTAAGATTGTTCAAATTTAAAAGAAGTAAAAATTAAATTCTCGACTAAAAATGTTTAATATATATATATATATATATATATATATATATATATATAT